TCTAATACTATCATCCCTTTTTATCATAAGCCACTTTGAGGCAGGATATTCATTGCTGCTAATGGGACTCAGTGTTTCATCCCGTGGTAACTTCATAATGAAAAACAACATCACCTGCTTTGGACACCCATGTACCCTTGAAGCAGTGTACTACTGCAGTGCTCTGAATTTGTCAAAGTTTTGGTCACTGGCTGGTGTATTGATTTGAGGGCCACCACTTTTTGTTAGAAAATTTCTTAGTGCTTAGAAAATAAGCATTTGTGTTCAAAAGAAAAATTGGGAAAAGACAAAAGTCAACCTCGACTGACTGGATGTTTGTCTTTGCTCAGAATTGAGGCTGAGGATGTGAAATTTCACCCTGTGAAGATGGCTAAGTAGGATGTAAAGAGGTCCTATATTTAAATTTCCTGATTTCTCTTATTTCCCTGTCTCACCTCCTGTGATTGAGCTGCCCTGGGCTGCATGGTACAGTGTGTTGTGTATAACCTTAGGAATGTATTCAACCTTCTGAGTGCTTTTGTGAACTGCAATGAAGCAGGCTTCTTCCCTACTCAGCTTCCCTTTTTCTTTCTTTTGCAGCAAGTTGCTTGTGTAAAATACATTACTTCAAGGACTTGAAAATGATTTTTATGATTTATCCATGAGATTATGATTTTTGTAGTTAAAAATGGAGTGGAGAATTGATTACACCTGATGAACAAAGAAAAATTTAGAATTTTTTTCCATTTACCATAAATATACCTAAAGATCCATAGAATCAGGATGCAGGTGAACAAACCACCTTATGGTTCTTTCCAGTGCATCTCTCTGATTTCATCTAGGTAGCCATGAGGTGGCCACAGGATGGATTTTTCTGAAATCTTTTTCGTCTTTAAGTATCTCATCATGCAAAGTGCTATTTGGTTTCAGTTCTTTGGAATTTTGAGTAAGTTAATAATTGAGGTTAATAGATCATCATTATTATGCTGAAAAGATTATATGTGCTTTCTTTTCCTAAAATTTTTTGCCAATAAGATTGCAGGGAAATTTATATTTCAGGCACTTGACTCCCTTATTCCACTGTCCCTGTACTTGGGTTATTTCAAGCCGGTTTTAAAAAAAAATTTTGATATGATTAAAAATGTTACTGTTGACTTTTTCTTCAAGTGATAGTGAATTAGAATTTGTCAGAATAAGAAAAAATGCTGGCATGCATAAAAAAATTCAAAATTTGTACAAAATTTTTATATGAAATCTTCATATAACATTTTATAGATATGTGGTTTTATTGTTTTTTGCCAACATGTAGAATAGTTTAACTTATATATATACACTTATCCATCTAATATATTTTATTATATTTTTGTGGTTTTATCTTGTGTCTATTATATCTAGTGTTGAACCTCTTTTTTTTAAATGCCAAGGTAAGAAACAATTTATTATAGAAAGAAAAATTTCTCATCCAGAATATAGAAATGTGTACAACTTTGCCACAGTCAAGATACATGAACTGTACAAATTTACACCAGTTCATAATTTACCAAATAAAGGATGACTAACAAAGTTCACAAAATAGATGGTGGTTTGTGGAAAAGATTTTTACCCAATTAAGTACAAGGAAAATTACAAACCAGACCTCCACTTTCTAAAAACAGGAAGTTTACTCAGTCTTAGAAAACTACAAGTTAGCAGATGTACAGAGAGCTGGCTGGTGCTAACACCACAGTTGAGACAGTGTCTTCGTAGGGGTCTTTTAAAGCCTGTTGCCATGGGAGATTCTGGTCACTTGCTACTTTCAAAGCCAAAAACACAGTACAAGGTCTGACCATTTCCCCAGGTCATGCTTACTAGTTTGTCTTTATATACATCTATACTAGTTTGTTTGTCTTTATATACATTTACTAGTTTGTCTTTATTGCTTAATTACTTTGTGATATATTAGTTTTCAATACATATAATATATTCTATTCATCTTCTTCCCCTCATTACTCTCCCATATCCCCCTAGAATTTCTTATATCTGAATGGAAGGTGAGCATTTGGTGACACTGAGCTATAAGATAATATGCTAACCTTTCCCTATTTTCATTGTTCCAATAAAACTTTTTCCATTAACATTTTCATTAGCATTCATAAACCATATTTGATGTTCAGTTATTTTTTTTCTATGAAACAAATTCAGGTTTCAAAATTCTGATTAAGTACAATCAAAGAAAGAAGGACTCAGTCCCATAAATAAGATTTGAAAAGAGATATTACCTATGGTCTATCAAAACCATTTGCTAGATATTCATCTGCCCCAGTGTTTGGTGGATGTTGATCCTGTAAGGTTCCCTCTATGGGCTCTGCTTAAGAGACAGCGCACTGATACCCTTACAGTGACCAGCAGAGCTCCTGTTCTGCTGTTGCTTTAGGAGTGAATGGCAGTCTAGCATCAGAATTCATGTCTGAAAGAAATGTGCATACACATACCAAGACATAGAGTTAATATTTGAATGATTCGGCTTTTTTTTTTTTTTGAGATAGGTTCTTACTATGTAGTTCAGGCTGGCCTTGAACTCACTTTAGCCCACACTAGTCTTGAACTCATGGGAATTCTCCTCCCTTCAGCCTCCTGAGTGTTGGGATTACAGACATGTACCATCACACCTGGCTCTCAATTCAGCTTCTTACAAGAGAAGTTGAGGTATCCCAGACTCAGAGTTGCAACCTTCCTTCAAGAAATATATGTATAATTATTTAGGAAGGAGTGACCTTTGAGGATGTGGCTGTGAACTTCACCATGGAGGAGTGGGCTTTGCTGAATCCATCCCAAAAGAAGCTCTACAGAGATGTGATGGGGGAAACCTTTAGAAGCATGGCTGCTGTAGGTAAGGATGACTTCTCTTTCTCATTTATACAATCAGAGAACATTGTTTGTTTACTCATCAGTGCTGTTTTGTTAAATGGAATGTGAAAACATTTTGAAGAATATCTGTGGCCTGGTTTCATTATATCATGAATCTGACTGAAATCTATTAATTTTTTATGTAATAGTGTGATGTAATAATAGTGACTTCTTATATTTCTTTGTCTACAATTTAGGAAGAACCTGGCAAACCAGAAAGTTGAAGAAAATCTAAGGTAATTTGCATTCACAAGAAAAAGAAATGTTCCTCAAGAGTCAGTGTGTGAGTAGGAATATGGCAAACAAGGAGAAGAGACCATGTTCAAATTTAATCTCACATATTTTCCAAAGATGTAGACAGCTTGAGTATGTATAATCTGACAATTGAATACAGAAATATTCCAATACAGGAAACTGAACTAGTACTGATATCATGCAACAAGTGACACCATCAAACATATATGTATAAAAAAGATACTCTCTCATGATCGATATAATGAAAATGTATGAAATCGCATTTAGGTGTTGTGTATAGTTGTATATGAAAAGAATGAATTTTGAGCTTTGACATGAACCTATCTTCAAGATATCTATGTATACATGTGAATATGAGACATTTGGTTATTTAAAAAGTTGGCTAACCTTGAAGCAGTATTCACAGTACAAGTTAATCCTGGTGTTATAATATTGGGTGCTTTCAAGTCATCCTGCAAAGAATTGAGTCCATTGATGTTCTAAAATTCTTAGAAGCCACCCTCCAACATTGCTGATGGGAATGTTAATTACAGCTACTATAATAATCAGTAAACAGATGTCTCAAAAAGTAAAAATAAAAGTTCCATTTGATCAGGAATACCTCTCCTGGGTATATTCCCAAGAGTTAAAGTCATTATATTATACTGATAGTTGCATACCTGTACTCAAAGCAGGTCAGTTTATAACAGCTAAGCCCTGGAATCAGCCTAGACATCAGATGCATGGATAAAGAAACTTGATAGGCTCAGTATGATGGTGCATTCTTATTAACCCCACACTCTAGGAAACAGATTCAGCAGGATGGCAAGTTAATCAATGCGAATCTCTCTCAAAATAAGAAATAAAAAAGCTGGAGGTGCAATTCAGTGCCAAGACCCATGTTTAATTTCCAGCACTGAAAAGAAAAAACAAAAAGTACTATATAATCAGCAGTACAGATGAATGATATCATATCATTTGGCAAAAGAAATGGTGAATCTTCGTCCTGTAATGTTAAGCAGAAAAAGCTAGGCACAGAATGTGAAATGTAACATTTTCTCTTACATGATAAACCAAAAATATAAAATAGGTGGTAAAATAAAGGTCAGGTGATAGAAAAAGGAACAGCTGACTTTTTGTAGATGGGAAAGACAAAAGATAGAAGATAGAAGATACTTTCTAAAGATAGAAGAGGAAGAGTGATGGGGGAAAGGTATAAAAAATGATGAATATGAGATATACATACATAACAATTGCCCGAAATGAAACTAAAACTTCTGTATCGAGAAATATGTCAATTTAAAAATTATTGAAGGTGTCCTCCAGGACATTTAGTTAATTCATTGTCAAAATTTCTCAGCAGGCATGAAAACAGAACTTGTTCTGGTAAATCATTAATATGGAGACCCATTTTATTGTGGCTGTTTTACTTCTTTTACAGTAATAAAGCCTGGAATCAATATAAGGAAATATTCCTTTGGACTCCAGATGCTAACATGGACATGAAAAGAACTGGTTTAAAGCCAGCTGAGAGCCTTACTCGTAGAAAGCCCCTGATTGGGCATTTGTCCCTAGCTGTACCCATCATAGCTCACACTGCACTGAAGCCATGTGAGTATTTGGGATATGAAGACAAGCTGTGTAAGTGTAATGAGCATGGAAGAACCTGCAGTGATTTCCAGTCCTGTCAGAAGCATGCAAGGACAAAGGCTGGAGAGAAACCCTATGAAGGTGGTCAATGTGGGAAATCCTATCCTGATCTTAGTGAAGGAACTCACCTTAGAGAGAAGACCTCTCTGTGTAAGAAAACATTGAAAGCCTCCAGCACACCCAATGATGTTCAGATCCATGAAAGAAATCACAGTGGGGGGAAATGCTATGTATGTAAGCAACGTGGGAAGGCTTTCACTAGACACAGTGCATGTAAAATACATGAAATAACTCACACAGGGGAGAAACCCTATGTGTGTAAGCAGTGTGGGAAAGCTTTCAGCACACATGGATATTGTGAAATACATGAAAGAACTCACACTGGGGAGAAACCCTATGTATGCAAGGAATGTGGGAAAGCTTTTAGTACACACAGTTACTGTAAAAGACATGAAAGTACTCACACTGGTGAGAAACACTATGCATGTAAGCAATGTGGAAAAGCTTTCATCAGACACAGTACATGTAAAATACATGAAAGAATTCACACAGGGAACAAACCCTATGTCTGTAAGCAATGTGGGAAAGCTTTCCGGACACATACGTATTGTCAGATACATGAAAGAACTCACACTGGGGAGAAACCCTATGTATGTAAGCAATGTGGGAAAGCTTTCAGGACACAGAGTCATCGCAAAATACATGAAAGAATTCACACTGGTGAGACACCCTATGGATGTAAGCAATGTATGAAAGCTTTCCACACATGTGCTTTACAAAGACATGAAAGAAGTCACACTGGAGAGAAACCATATGTATGTAAGCAATGTGGAAAAACTTTCAGCAGGCACAGTGAATGTAAAATTCATGAAAGAATTCACACTGGGGAGAAACCGTACGTATGTAAGCAATGTGGGAAAACTTTCCACACACGTGGATATTGCCAAATACATGAAAAAACTCACACTGGGGATAAACCCTATGTATGTAAACGATGTGGGAAAGCTTTTAGGAGTCACCGTGGTTTTCAAACACATGAAAGAACTCACACCAGGGAGAAACCCTATGTATGTAAGCAATGTGGGAAAGCTTTCGGTGCACAGAGTTATTGCCAAATACATGAAAGAATTCACACTGGTGAGACACCCTATGGATGTAAGCAATGTGGGAAAGCTTTCCACACATGTAGTGCTTTACAAAGACATAAAAGAAGTCACACTGGAGAGAAACCCTATGTATGTAAGCAATGTAGAAAAACTTTCAGCAGGCACAGTGAATGTAAAATTCATGAAAGAATTCACACTGGGGAGAAACCGTATGTATGTAAGCAATGTGGGAAAACTTTCCGCACACATAGATATTGCCAACTACATGAAAAAACTCACACTGGGGATAAACCCTATGTATGTAAACAATGTGGGAAAGCTTTTAGGAGTCACCGTGGTTCTCAAATACATGAAAAAACTCACTCTGGGGATAAACCCTATGTATGTAAGCAATGTGAAAAAGCTTTCAGTACCCAGCGTTATTATAAAGGACATGAAAGAATTCACACTGGGGAGAAACCCTATGCATGTAAGCAATGTGGGAAAGCTTTCAGCACACATGGTGTTTCTCAGATACACAAAAGAACTCACACTGGGGAGAAACCCTATGTATGTAAGCAATGTGGAAAAGCTTTCAGTACACAGTCATAAAACACATGAAGTCATAGCAGGGAGAAACCCTATGTATGTAAGCAATTTGGAAAAGGTTTCAGCTGGCAGAGTGGATGTAAAATACATAAAAGAACTCACACTGAGGAGAAACTCCATTTACATTAACAATGTGGAAAAGCTTTCAATACATATATGCATTAGTGAAGTCTCATTGGAAAGAAACTGTATGTAAGCCTGTTTTGAGAATCTTGTGGAAATTTCTCATGTAGTGGAAATCTGTAGAAATGATTAATACAAAACGTTTGATGTTAATATTTCATAAAATGTCTAGAAAATACAATTCCGGATGAACATATCCTAAAGTACATAGTGTGTTTTTCAGTAAATCTCTTAAAAATATCTGGATTATGTATCTAATTTTTAATATAAAAATATTGAGTTCACATAATTATGTGTTTTTGTGTGTCTCTGAGCTTAATACACAATATCTTTTAATTAGCCATGATGAAATGTACTTTTACTTCCAAGTACAGTTAATATTCATGTAGTTTTTGTTGTGTCTTTAAAATCGGGACATACAGGCCAATAAAAAGTTAATTTTGTTAATTGTTGGGATTTGCCACTGCATTTGTTTTAATTTTTTGGTATATACTGTGTAATAAAAGATGTTTTTGAACTTGATGCTATGTATTTTTTTCCTGTCCCTCTGTTTTTGTTTTTTTTTTTGGCACCAGGAATCAAACTCAGGACCTTGAACTTGCGAGGCAGGTGGTGGAACCACTGAGCTAAATCCCTGGCACATTGGATGCTATATTTTATATTAAGATATATTAGGAAACTTGTGAACATGTTTCAACAAAACTGAATTATTTTCACACAACTTGTAAATTAGCAGATGTTATGTTTTCATATACTGATATGCTGATCATTACATATTGTTGCCTATTTTTCTTTCATTGTGGAGCTAATTTTACATAAAATTTTGTTTTCTTACATCAAAATTTTACTTCTCATGTTTATATTGTGATGACTTAATTTGCTGGTAATTTTCCAAAGCATGTACCAAAAGTAAGCCATACTACTATGAATTTCTGATTGCTGCAAACCAGCAGGACCATAACTTTTCTTTGAAAAGATAGCGAATTATAATAATCTCTCCAGAAAGTATATAAATGATGGTATGACTTATCAGTAACAAGACTTTCAAAAAGTTTTTGTTAGTCGTGGAGTTGTTTCAGGGAGAATAGTTGCTATTGAATGTAACAACACAAATGCCTTTATTCTATTCCCTGCTGCTGTGGTGCCATTCTATCTTTTGTAATCAGTATTGTTTATACCTAATAAGCTGAACTAATGGTGTGAAGAAAAACCTAATTCATGTGAAATTTACTAATTTATAATTTGTGTTCCATTTTACCAATTTCTGAGATACATTTATACAATCCCATTTCTCATTGTTCATAAGTACCACTATCTGATGTGTGAAGTATGTGACAGTTGCTTTAAAACACATACACCGGACCAAGGTATGTGCGTGGGTCTCAGTTGGTCTCCTTGGACCTGTTTTTTATAGTCATTTTAACTCTGAAATATTTTGTAAAATGTTTCATACAGTGTTCTTGAATACAAAAGCTGCTTGATTTCTGATGGGGTTACATTGTTACAAACTTACAGTATTATGAACACATAAGTGAGCAATGCATTAAGGACACAATGGAGTGTAGCTTGCCCTAGCTTTAATTATACTTAGATACATAAATTACCAGTTGTATAATACTCAAAATTACATCTGTTTTAAATCTAAAGTATCCAATATAATTTATGGGATATAACACATGGCAGATTACAGTGTCAGTTTATGCACATTACAGCATGTGGCTAATTTCCCTAGCACACTTCTGCTTCTTCCCATCACCAGAGAGATACATAGTGTGCATTGTTATCCTAGTTAGTGATTGAATATTGAAAATATAAGAGATTTTGCCCTGAGCACCTTTACTTTTCAATTATTTTACCTTGAAAAATGTCTTGCTGGTCCTAGCGATGTATGTTTGTAATCACAACAACTCAAGAGGCCAAGGTGAGAGAATAAAATTGAAGCCATCCTATTCAATGCAATGAGGCTGTCTCCAAATGTATGTGAAAGGTCTGCAATGGTAGCCCAGTGCCTTAGTACTCCTGGGATTCCTCCTCAATATCAGAATTACTTTAATACTAACAATCACACATCACTATGCTTTTCTTAATATATAAAGGTCTAAGTGAACTTGTTATTCTTTTAGTCCTTGCATCAGGACAGGCTGAGACAGGATATCGTGTCTTTAAAACTGGGGTGGGGGGCAGCTTAGCTAGATGCCTTACCCAACTATGAAACAGTTGTCTTTATAGCTCCATTTTTAAGTTTAGGAAAGAAACCAGTCTAATTAGGTAAAGAACGTACACCTAAAATAGGATAAAAAAATCATTATTGCAAATCATGATTTTGTTGCTTAGAAAATATTCTTTTCATGGTAATATTTGTACAGCAGTCATATATGTGCCTGCATCATACAGTAAAACATAAGGAAACATGAATAAACAGGCATTCCATGTTTTGAATATAGAGACATAGCAACATTAGTTTTCTCAACGCTGTTGCTGGTGTTTTGGGTAGAAAACAAAGTGAGGTTACACCAGAAACAAAGTGAATTACATAAAATTTTAAAACTGCCCAGATACATAAACACAATACAGTAAAGAAATAACCTACACAATAGAGAAAAAAAATTTCTCCACAGGACTCTTCATAGGACTAATATCTGGAAAAACCAGGTAAGTGAAATGAAAATACACTTCTCAGAATACATACAAATGGTCAATACCTGAAAAAATGTTCTGCATTTTTTCCCAATAGAGAAATTCAGATTGGAATAGCATCTTATTCCAGAAAGAGCACATCACCATTACCTCAAAAAATTATCCATGAGGCTTCTGGGGAAAGGGGGACCTTTCAGCATTGTTGGTGGGGATGTAAAGTAGTTCAACTACTACAGAAGTCAGTGTACAAAGTATTCAAACAACTAACAATGATAATTCTTCAAGCCATTGCTTCCTCTTGTAGTTATCTTCCCCAAAGAGTTAAGGACATCATATTTCAGTGATACACACATATTCCTGTTTATAGCAGCAATACTCAATTTTTCTTTTGGGCTACAGCAGTGAGCCCTGCACTGTCAGCAACCAAATGTCAAGTGTAAACAAATACCCATCAGTGTACTCTAAATATGATTTTTCATATTTTATTATGAATTGGGCTTTATGTTAGATAATTTTTCATGACTACAGGTCAATATAAGCATGATAAGTATGTTAATGTATCGGGGCATAGCTGTAACGTTTATTACATTTGGAATTTTAAATTCATATTCAATATATTTTATTTCAAATTTTTGAGTTGATCAAATATTTCCACTTTGTACCTCAAGGAACATCTGTAACCAACTTTATTGAGGTTGTGTTGCACATAACACCAATCTCATTAGATTCTCTCCTATGTTCAGTGGAGTTGCTTTTTATACTTTTCTCATGGTATAAAGGAAATTTTAGATTTCATTGTATAATCAGAGGTTGAATACTCCTATAATGAGTGCCTAAGGGCAAAACCAGTGATTACTCAAATGAAGCTAGTAGTTTAAGAACAAAAACCAATAAAGGAACCACAGCCCAAGGGAGAAGGCTTGAAGCCCCATAAGAAATCCCTAATAAAGGTCTATGTTCAAAGGCTGAGCACTGGAGTTCTTGGATGATGACAGCACCAAATATCACATCTGTTTCAAGACAATTCAAGTATCCAGAAGCTTCTCTTTTACACTTTTTTTTGTTCCACCAATGCCCAGTCCCCTTGGATGACACCAATTTGTCTCATGATAGTCATTTCTCACTGAGATCAATGGCTCACATATCAATTATTTTCTCTAGAAGGACTCAACACAGAAACACAGAGGTGTGCTTTACCAGTTTTTATGGCATTCATTCATCATCAAGTCATGCTGATGACAAGATTAACATTCCAAAGGCAAAATAATTTTAAGAAGTTAAATTTTTTATTAATACAGTTTTGTAATGTATATTTCCATTTTTCAGAAATTGGCATGTGTACACAACACATCTGAACAGTTTTAATACTCCTTCCCATCTCCTTTCTCCCCCTTGCATCTATTCTCTACCTTGTTTCCAACTGTAAAATATCTATCTCATTTCCAATTACTGATTTTTATGCTTTCTTATAAATGTAAAAGTTAAACAGAATACCTCTAATAGTAAAGCAAATAATCTACAAATAGCAGCACCCTAAAATCAGGAACAAGACAAGGATGTCCACTATCACTACTTCTGTTCGATATAGTTTTAGAAACATTAGCCATGACAATTGGACAAGAGAAAGAAATAAAAGGAATAAAGATAGGAAATGAAGAAGTCAAATTGTCATTATTTGCAGATGACAT